TCCATCGTGGATGCAGAGGTCACCAAGGATTGACCATCCTATATCGATAGAATCATGACAAAATACAGGCTCCCATGAGTAAACCTGTAGTTCAAGGGATTTAAACCACATGAATCAAGAATTCTTTTCTAAAATATTCAACCATAAAATTTCAGATGCCCAGACAGAAACCTTTAAACTATCATCCAGTCCACAAAAAAGGGTATATATATACACACACATTGAGAATTCTATATTAGGAATGATCCTAATTAGGGATCTCTGTAATTAAAAAAATATAAAATCCTGTAGATTGTACATTCTATAAGCATAGATATTAATCATGCCCAACTTGTTACAAATATAATCAATTTGAATCTCATTTAGAGCTTTTGTGAAAAAATCTCCTAGTTGTTCTCCAGTTTTCACATATCATGTAGAGATCAAATTCTGCTGCACCTTCTCACGAACGAAATGACAGTCAATCTCAATATACTTACTTCGTTCATAAAATACAATATTAAAAGCAATATGAAGAGCAACTTGGTTGTCGCACAACTTCACCGATATTGAAATCTTAAGACCAACTTCAGTTACGAGCTAATATATCCATATTATCTCACACACAAATTGTGCCATAGCTCTATATTCTGATTCTACGCTGGATCGGGACACAACATTTTGTTTCTTACTTTTCCACGAGACCAAATTTCCTCCAACAAAAACACATTAACCAGTAGTGAATCTTCGGTCAATCTTAGATCCTACCCAATCTGCATTTGAAAAGCATTCGATGTGGGTATGTCCATAATTTTTGTACAATATCCCACGTCTAGGAGCTCCTTTTAGATAACATAGGATATGTTCTAAAGCTGCCCAATGGTGAATTGTTGGAGAAGACGTGAATTGACTTACAATACTAACAGGATACGTAGTATCGGGACGAATTACTATAAGATAGTTCAATTTTCCAACCAGCCTTCTAAACTTCTCAGAATCTTCAAATAAGTCACAATCTTTGGTAAGTTGCAAATTAGGAAGCATTGGAGCAATGCTTGGCTTAGCTCCCAACTTTTGTATCTCGATTAATAAGTTAAGTACATATTTTCTCTAAGTTAAGAAGATGCCTTTCTTACTTTTTGTCACCTCAACTTTTAAGAAATACTTCAACACCCCTAAGTCTTTCATATGAAATTGGGTGTAAAGAAATGACTTTAGAGATGAAATTCTCATAGTATCATTGCTAATACTAACAATATTATCAACATACACAACAAGGAGAATAATGTCGGATTCAGACTATTTGTAGAAGATTGAGTGGTCAGACTTGCTCTTTTGTATTCCAAACTTTTCCACTACCTGACTGATTTTTTCAAACCATACACGTGGACTTTGTTTCAAACCATATAAGGACATTCGAAGATAACACACTTTTCCAGTAAGTTTACTATGTATGCAGATGATTTATCCGATATAAAACAAACTCGTGAATTTGTAGAAACACTAAATCGGTGAAGGCGTGTGTTAAATTCTTTGCTTGCATTTTGATATATATACATGATAAAGTTTAGAACAAAGATATCATATCCCATACATACCTCGTTATTTTTCCCTTTGGAGTATGAATACAAAGGCTGCCAAGACCTTTATATGGCATACACATTATTTTGATAATATGATTTCACCATCGTGATATCAAACCTATTCTGCTGGAATTTAATTTCCATTTGATATACTTGCATGATAAGGTTTTCGATAAAGACATCATATTCTTGTAGGTAGCTTACTCTTCTAGAGCATAAATGTAAAGCTGGCAAGGATTTTAACTGTATTCAAAATTTAAAAAAAAAAATAATGCTACTTGTACATAACAATTACATAATAGTTTACATATAGACGGGGTGCCAAAAAGAAAGTGAGGGATTTTTTTTAGTTGGTTGAAGAAGTTTCGATATAATCATATCTCACCACATCATATGTATGTAATCGAACATGATTGCAAAGGATTTAAATAATTTGGTCTTATAATTTAAATTGTCATTATAATTCTAAACAACCAATATTTGATATTTACGTCTTCATCGATTGATTTTTGACATCTATATATTGTGGGATATATATAAATGGGGTAAAGTATATAAATTGCACACGTAATGGTCATATTTAGTAATAGTAATAATTGTACCAAATGGAATTAAAGAAGTGATGCATCCTATACAAATTATTGCTTGTCAAGCATGAATTAATGAACTAAGTACTTGTTTAATGTGCACTACTAAATAATCAATATAATGGACAAAATTTTAACTTATTGTTTTAATATTGTACGATTCATCTCAACTATGAAATCTATTCACTGAGATCAAGTTTGTCAAAATTATAATTGCTTATAATTTGATCAAATTTTATTCTTATTCACATATTTTGTAGAATTCATAGAAATATTTCTATGAACATTTTTAACTACACATTACTTAGGGCATACTATTTATGATCAATTAAAATTTTTGACAGACTTACACGAGTTCCTTTACAATTTGAAAACAGTAGGACACATTTTGATTCATTAACAATGAAAGGTAGACCACATTGTTATCTTGACTAGTGTTAAGCATGGGTTTGATAACAATATTCATCGTTAAGTGTATTTCCTTTTGAATAATTCCATTCATTGCCTATCTAGATATTGCCCAAATGAAGTTGGAATGCATTTTGATTCATTGACAATTGTGGTGTTGTATAAATAACTACCCTAACAAAAATTTTATCCTTTTTTTTTATAAGACTGCATGCGTTATATGAATAATCATGCATCTACTTGGGAGACTATTGTTACACCTCGCCACTGAGGCTCTAATTGAAGCCCACGTCGTAGTCCACGCGAAGCTGTGAGTCAAATTTGACTAAATAAACAAAAACCGAATTGGTTAGAATAGAAGTCAAAGAAGAAGCTAATGCTATCTGTCCCAAAGTTCTTCACACCTTTGGAATAACCTCACTTTGGCCTATGCTCTTAGTTTTGAAGCTCCCTTTGGTTGAAGCCCTTGCTGTCTTTGAGAGGAACTGCCAACAATTTTTAGGAATGATTGATGTAATGTTTGTAATAATGAATGTCAGGATTGTCAACCTAGGATATAGGGTGGCCACCTTTTGTCAATGTATTGAATACATAACAGATTGAGTGATGTGAGATTTTGGCCTAGGAGATGAGGCCACTTGGTTTCTATCCAACCATCAACCACTTCGGCCACAACTCCATAAATATGCAACTCTTTACACTTGAAACCACACTTGATTTTCTCTCCTGCTTATTCCATATACATTTGCTTGAGTTTAATTTATTTTTACTTTGATTGAGTTGTTTATAATTGATTGTTTATATGCAATCATCTTTGATCATATTGTCGGTGTTTGAACATTTTTGTTTTGCGTTGTAAAGTATTTCCTATGTCCATAAACGCCATCCTTTTCCATCCAAATCTTCAGTCAAAACGTGTTGGAATTTGCTTGTGTGGACACGAGTGAGCCCGACATTTATTGTCCATGTAACCATTACAAAACACGGGTTCAACAAAAATTAATGGTGGAACCCACCGTCAACAAGACTAGTGCCAAGATAGCATTATTTTATCAAGAAAATGTATTTATTTTTGAATAATGCCATTCATCACCAATCTGTATAAAATTGACCCTGATTCATTGTCTTACGTACTAAAATAGACCACAACTCTGTGCATTTAATTGTTCAAATAAAGTGGAGATGCATTTTGATCCATTGACAACTAAAGGTGGACCACACTCCTGCATAAAATTATGCTAAGCATAAACTTGATAGCATTATTCATTATGAAAGTAAATTTATTTTTGAGTAGCATCATTCCTCACACATCTAGATGACATTGACACTGATTCATTGTCTAATGTATTAAAATGCATCTTAACTCCGTTGGACATTGAATCAAGAGATCACTACTACCTAATACAACTCAATCCACAATAAATTAGGAGGTCAACTACCTCCTAAACTAGTAACAATCACCTCTAGTAATAGATAACATATTCTTTACTTTTTGGGAAGATTACACAACTACCAAACTTGTTTTTGAAAAATTAAAAAATACTATATTTTTCAATTTTTAGATTTTCACTTTGACACCTTATGATATAATTTTTTTGATATATTACTGAAAACGTTGTTTTGTTCTCACTTTTACCAATTTTTTTTTAATATTTTTTGTTTTTTTTACACGTGTTAGTAACATATGTGTTACCATTTTTTACAGTAAGTCATTAACACATAATGTGTTACACGGATTCTTTTTTTTTTTTTTTTTATCAAGGTGTTCGCTTTCGGCAACTATTCGTTGGGTCTGTGATCCGACCCCTCTTCACATAGACCAGTTAAACCGCGGGATGTACCTCCAACTGATCAGAGTCCAAGCGCCTCTCCAACTGGACTGCCAAAGTGCATGTTACATGGATTCTAAACAATAACAAGTGACAACATACCATCCAGCACTATTTTCCGCTAATTGATTTCTATGGATAACATATTATGTTACTGTATTACTTGTATGGTAACATAATGTGAACTGATGTTACTTTTAGGGTAATATAATGTGACGTGTTTTACTACGATTCCAAATGCTAACACCATCTCGTCTAGTATTGTTTCCTAAACACCACCCAAATCGAATTCCCACCTCAACTTAGCAACACTACACCACCAGCAGCAGCATATTTTGATTCAATCTGTTGCTGCATCGCAAGTGAAATACCATTGTCTCCACCACGCGGAGAATCCATCATCACAGTCACCACCAAAAAGGTTTTCGACAAATGCCACTTTCTTTGCCACCACATGCTCCACAACCATTAAGGCCAAAAGCTTTAAAAATTCAATCGTTCCAATCTGACAAATATTTGAAAAATGGTGGTGGTGACCAGTGCTCTTGAGATTGGTGGTGGAGGGTGATGGTTTTGATGATGAAGTTAATTTGTTAATTTAAAAAGCCAGATCGTTCCACATACAACATTAACATTTTTACTCACCAACAACATAAAAGAATAAAAAAAATCGATAATTTGACTAGCACACTAAAGAAAACAAATGCATTTTCCCTAGACATTCAGCATATACTATGTAGTTCTCACGAAAAATAAGGAAAATATGCATATCAGCACGGCAATGAGTTTAAGGAGCGCAACTCCTTTCCAACTCCAGCTCATGCCCTCTCGAGTCGTGCTCTGGAATCTCTCTGTATCATGTGTAGGAGGTTTTGGACAATCTCAGACATTGGTGGCCTGAATTCTGGCTCGTGCTGTTGAGCAAAAGGAAGACATGTAAATGAACAAGCTCTTCTTTTCTTTTGAACAATACTGCAACTCATTATGCATCAACTTTACAGCTAAACACAATTAACATGCTAAATGAATCTTGGATATTTTATACAAAAATTTCTCAAGCCGCTAAAAAGTTTAATCCATTATAATGATTTCAATGCAAGTCCTGCTTCAGTATGAATTGCCATTCATTAGGAAAGAAAAGAAAAAAAAAAAGAAAAGAAAAAAAAAGACAAAGGTGAATCAATCTTCTTCTTCCCCCACAGCCGCAAACCAAAAGTTTAGGTATCTTTCTGAACTTTTACATTGATGAGTTATTTTCAGTTAGGCCAGTTTAATTATTTCTTCTCTTCTCTTCTCTATTACTGAGTTTTTTTTTTTTTTTTTTTCTGTTACACACGATTGGTTTAATTCATATAGACATTTCAGAGGTTCTGCATTGTTGAGCAAAATAATGGATTTGTGGTAGCTATAAACACGGTTGTGCCTCCATTAAGTTCCTTAGTTTTATGTGGAATCCACAACTTCTGTGGGTCATGAATCCTGCATTTTTTATAACAATTGTGCTTACTATAATGCAGAAGGAAGAGGAGGGGGAGGGGCTTTCCACAGGTGTGAGGGTGATGGAGGTGGGAGATATGGGCAGAGGGGTTGATGCGAGCAGCGGACCGTGGGAAAAAGATAGTTTTTCTTTACTTCAAAACGAGGGAAAATTATTTTCTCAGCCAAAATTCTTGGATTACGTGGTTCACACGTGAGTTTTTATCAGTCAAATTGGACTGTATCTGTATTTTGGGACTTGCTACATAAATTTCCGGTGTTGCCAAGAAATAATGAATAGGACACTAATCACCAGAAGGACAGTGACTGTAGTTTTCCCTATCAAAATATTGCACAAAGCCAAAAAATCGTGCTTCCTCTTGCAAAGAAAAGAAGGCCCTCTCAGACTGTCAGTTTCCTTTCTCAAATCATATCAATTGATCATTGTCAAAAGCAGTTGAAAATAAGAACTGAGAATGAAAAACTTACCTGAACGCACAAAGAAATTATATCAGCAAGCCGAGATAAAGACTTTGACGGATAAGCACCATTTAGAGAACGATCAACCATTCTCGATAATGCATCTATATCATGAAGCTGTGGAATTGCCCATCTAACGAGATATTGCTCTCCACGGGGGCGCAACCTGTGTTCGTGCATACATGTTAGTTTCCAAAAATAATTTTATTTTTTTCAAAAATTTAGCTGAGAATAAGCAGTTTCGACTCATCAGACATCATATTTTCTCAAATATGCTAACCTGTCATATGATTTTCGCCCAGTTAAAAGTTCTAACATCACAATTCCAAAGCTGTAGACTTCACTCTGGTAGGTATAGCTTCCTAATTCAAGTTCTGGAGCACCATAACCACGACCTTGCAACTAATATATACATTGATGTCAACAAATATTCAAGCAGATTGAACAGATGTTTAGATGATTTTATAGCAGGTGCATAATCCAAGAAGCTCCGGATACCATGATACTAAAAACTTTTTTGCTTCTATTAACATTAGTAGCATTTAATATATTTAAATTCTAAACAAAAATTCAGCACCAAATATCTGATATCCCCTTTCCAGCCAAAATTATTCTGACAGCTCTCCATGTGGAACGTGCTTAGTAGGGAGTTTTACGTTATTCCCTTTATCATGGACAACGATGAGTAACACACTCTGAGATGAAGGTGAAGACTAGAGCAACCAAAAATAGATATCAATGAATTAACAAATCTAATTCAGAGATATTAAGTCTAGACTTTGCCTGAGTCATCGAGTCAGATGGCAGCAGTGGAGCCAATCCACTATCAGAAACTCGCACCGCAAGCCCATCATCTAGGAGAATATTAGCAGATTTGAAGTTCTGGTGCACAATAGGTGGCTGACATGTCTCGTGCAAATACCTTTCAGAAAACAGTAAGACTCGGTCTCCAAAAACTTTGAAGTTCAAGAAATGACAATGAAACATTTGTTTTGTGGAACAGCACAAAAATGTTCAAGAAATACTTCAAAACCAAGAGCATGTTCAGCTAAGCTTAAAAAATGAAGTTACTTGTGTAACTAATTGTCTCCTTTCAAAAAAAGCTAATTTTTTTTTTAAGCATAACTCTTATATTTCTATTTAAAAAAAAAAAATGTTCAGCTAAGCTTAAAAAATGAAGTTACTTGTGTAACTTATTGTCTCCTTTCAAAAAAAGCTAATTTTTTTTTAAGCATCACTCTTATATTTCTATTTAAAAAAAAAAAAAAAAACTTATTACCAGCTCTGACTAATATACAGTTTTTTTATTTATTAATTATGAGGACACTTTTTAAGCTTATCCATACATGCTCTTACTTATCACACAAACTATGTTCATTCTGGTCAATATGCTGAGTTCATCAATCAACATACTCCAGGGCTCTCGCAGCTTGAAGTGCCAAATGCATCCGAGCATTCCATGTAAGCTTTTTTATGATCTCAACGTCCAAGTGTAGTGCTTCATAGAGCGTCCCATTTCTGCAATAATCATATACAAGCAGAAGTTGTCCATGCTCCAGGCAGTAACCTACAAGTTCCACTATATTTGCATGTTGAAGTTTAGAGATATTTGACACTAGCTCGAGGAATTTTCGATCGCTCAATTGCCTTGAAGCTATTGTGTTCAATTTTTTGACTGCCAGGACCTGGAGACAAGTAAAGCAAAAATATCAGGGAGTTGAGACAACATTTGCAATATACCATGACAATGTAGTACAAAGATATTTTCACACAAGTCATGATATAAAAAATTTGATAAGCCGGGCCATGACGATGATATATATACTTTATCTCATCCAACTGTCAATAGCAATATCTGTAGTTATATCCAAATTTCAATTTGCCAACTAAAATATTGAAGTACAAAGTAAAATCTAAATCACACGACATGAGCCCAAGATTGTAAAAGAGTGCTAATCAATCAAGCTATTGTATTATCTTGTCAAAGAAAATAATCACCTTATGCAAATTGATTAAAATTAGAAAACAAGAACAACTGCAGTAAAAAGAAATAAATTCCACTCTCATTGCAGGAAGCCAGATAAATCAGAAGATGATTACCTTTCCTCCAGGAAGCTCAGCTTTGTAAACTGTTCCAAGCGTGCCTTCCCCAATTAAATTTTCTGGAGAAAAGCTCTTTGTATACTGTTGAAGAGATGCAATGCTAAAGAACTTAACAGAGTCAACACGATTAGAAGCATGCTCCCTTGAGGTTAATGGAGAAAAAATTGGATTTGCAGCAATCCTTTCAGCAGGGAGAAGTGGAAGAGGATGTGCTGGTTGGGGTAGCTGTGCATAATCCAAACTTGTTATATCTAGACTATGATCTTTTTTCTGATTTAGCACTGCAGTTTTTCTCTTACTACCTCCAACAGATTGCTGTAAATCGCCTTCTTTCGGTTCTGCACACAGGCCTCAAAAAGATCATTCATCGAAGTAAAAGGAAATAATAACTCAAAAAAAATCATATAATGGCAACAAGAAAAAGCAATAAGTGTATAGAAAGCAAGAATTCACCTCTCTCTACATGGTAATGAGGCTTTGGCAGATTCCGGTCTCGTCTGCGAGTCTGATGGATGCCAAGTGCTCCCATTGCATACCTTTTTGAGGTTTTCTCTTTCAATTTCCTCCTTTTACAACATTTGAACATGAGAACACCTAGCCCCAGAGCTAGTAATACAACTGCAAACAATCCAGCAGCAATAGAAATCCATGGAACAATTTTTGTTGTACTTCTCTTTCCTTCCCTTCCATATTGTGGTAATGGAGATGCTGACGGTCCATTTGCTCGTTTTGTAGGATCCAGATGAGGAGAAGGTGCCATGGAAGGGGAAAATGAAGGAGGTGATGCTGGTGAAGGTATTACCGTCGTGTTAAAGGGGTTACCTCCTCGACTGCATCACAAATTGAAAATTTTACAAAGGCTATACCATAATTCAAAAAGTCAGAGAATACGTGTTATAAGTTCCACATGGAAAGGCGTAACTAAATGAAAAAGAAATGAACTCTATGTTTCACCTGAAATCAGGAATACTGAGCAACTTCTCGGGTATAGGTCCAGAAAACAGATTATTTTCTATGTTCCTATGGAGCAAAGAAAAGCCAATCAGATTATCTAACAATAAATTGAGGCAAAGGGAAATTTTCAAACTATCTAATTTCACTTATAAATATAAGTACAAAGCTCTGAGGGGAAGATCTTGAAGAACATCCAGGGTTCCAGTAAGCCGATTGTTCTGCAAATGCCTGCAACAAAGAGACATTATTACGTTAAAAAGAAAAACTACCGTATATTAGATGAGATGTGAAGACATGACAAATTCATCCTCAGATTGTGAAGTAAATTTGCAAGTTATGCGGAGCTTTTCCACAGGACAACAGATCGAACAAGTATCATCAATTCATTCCAAATTAATACAAGACTTTGCCAGCAAAATATCATGAGTTTATCAGTTTATGGTCCTGTTTTGCCATATGCATTCAATTTCAAGTACCATTCTTTCTTAGTAAACAACAATGTAAACCAATTAATTGCCATAAAACTTTCCCGAGCTAAATAATCTACATAAATAGCGAGAAAATAAGCTTGTGCAAAAAGAGTTTTTTTCCTACTGAAAACCCAATCTAACTCAATGGTTCATTAGTAGATAAGGTTCATCATTGTAACATATAGTGATTTGTCTCCCATATTATCTATCCAACATAGGCAATTTCTTACAGTGTGGTAAGAGAGGACAAGATCCCCATTGAAGGAGGCAGCTGACCAGACAAACTGTTTCCTGACAAATCCCTGCATTCTCATTTTCATTTAAGTAAAAAAATATAGCTCAATCAAATTTATGGGAGATATCATGGAATCTTAATAGAATGCTTACACGTTGATCAAACCCTTAAGCTGTTTAAAGGCATCAGGAATTGCTCCAGTTAAATTATTGTTGTTCAGAGACCTGAGAAGCATAAGGGTTTTGAAAATCAGTAGACTGTAGACAATCATGGCATTGTTTGGTAAGGAGAATTAGATAGTACTAGACATTACTAAATTTGAAAAAGAAGCTAAAATTTGATTTATTATAATTTCCAGTTATAAGATACTTTGTACCAAACATGCACAGATGGTCTCATAGGACTATGCAATGACAGCAAAACCGTGCAGGCAAAGGATAATGATACTAAACAGAACTTACAAATCAGTCAGTTGGTCTAAGGTGGATAGATTATACGGGATGCTTCCAATGAGCTGATTACCTGAGAGAAAACTAGCGTTTGTGGTATTGAGGGAGGGACGGGGCATTATCAGACACTACAAAATTGAAATATCCGGTGTTGAACCTCCTAAAAACAGTCAATAAAGTTTTATTAAATCAGCTAACTAATTTGTGGAAGCCAGTCAAGGCTGGAAAAACGTACAAGCTCCTCATAGTGATAGGCAAGTCGGATGGTATACTGCCTCCTATATGGTTGTTGCTTAGATCTCTGCTTTTAGGAAGATAAAAGTTTTCATAAGGCTCCAATTAGAACAAAACATCATTCAGGGAGGAATATAACATGATAGACTAATTGACAGATGAACTTACATTTGTATAATCGAGGAAAACGATCCCAAGTCTTCATTCAGCGCATCTCCCAAATTTTCACCATTTAAAATGCTATCAATAACAAAACACATAAATTCAATCCAAAAGGCAAGAAAATCATCACCTCCTGTAATGAAACAGCAAGAATCGTATCGTACATAGAGGTTATGTTGGAATTGACACACAATACTCCTTGCCAATTCAGTCCGCAAGGGTCCCCCCCAAAGGGAATCCAGTTAGAAAGGGGAGGGAAGCCCAGAGAAGCATATAAACTGTTTATTGCAAAAACTAACAGAAAACCACAGAAACAAAAAAGGATTAATATTATAAATATTACCTTTTATCACATAATATCCATTTACAACATACATTGAATTTCTGAAAAAAAGAGTATAAAGAAAGGATTTTCATGCTTTACCATCACGAGGGTCAGTGAAACCAGAAACATATGACTCTGCAAAGATCACCAAAAACACAAAAAAAAACGAACGAATCTTCCAATCTAAACTGCCCATCATCAATTATGGCCACTAAAAAACTCAAAAAAATCTCTTTTTGTTCTCTCTTTCCTTTTTCTTAACAAAAAACTCAGCAGAATTCTTCAAGAACCTGAAATTTAAAGCAAATCAGAGAATCAAACAAAGCAAGCAATTCGAAATCAAATCTTTCTTGAATTCATTCAAATTAAAAACAAAAGCCTGCATGACCCCTCAAAAAAATTTCAAAACAGTGCAGCGGAAGAATATATGTACATTTCATTAAAGCAAGTCAAGCACAAAAATTCATGTTAGTGGGAAATTCAAAAGGCATAAAGACAACACCTTTTCTCAATAATATAGCAAAAATTTAACAAAATCAAGCAAAGAAACAACTTACAGAATAAATGAAAATGATGTTCAAACAATAGAGGGTATAAAAAGTGGCTTGCTCTGTTTCCTGCTATTTTTTTCTTCAAAAAGTGGGCAAAGATAATAATAACAGTAATTAACGTTTACTTCCTGCAAGTATATTTTCTGGAATGTATTCTTTACCGGAAAATTATGCAGTAATGATTGCGTGTATTTGAATTTTTTAAATTTAATTTGAAAAAGGGAAACATTTATATACCGTTGAGCTATGATGGGACACGTCAAATTGTTGGGCGCCGTTGAAAATCAAGACCTTGACTACTTGCAGTTTGTAAGCCCCTGTTTGACATTCTTAAAATTTTAGAAACATTATTTTAAATAGTAATTTTAAGAAAATATATAGTTAAAAAGTAGAAAAAAAAGTATTGAGTTTATGTATAAAATAATATTAAATATGGTAATCGAAATGAATTGAATATTGATTATATTAAATATAATGAAATCACCCTGCTCGTGTACTATACTGGTCTTTATGTCCAATAATTAAAATGCTTGAGGCTTTTGATGATCATAAAGGGTGGTCGATGATAGAATGTTCGAGGGTCCGACACCATTATATGAGCGGTGCTAAGAGGTCCTTTAGTGGTGCCTTATAACTATGGTTCGGCACGAGGTCCACCATATACGTAGGTCATATATTATGTGGTCCCTGAAGTTGTGTTTGAGATTGAAGGACACATAAATACCAGTGGATAAAAATGCTTCTTGTTATTGACTATGTTAATATATGAGCCCATATTATACACCTTAGTGACATTTGGGCCCAACGGATAAAAGATAAATAGTATGTAGATATGAGAATTATGTAAGAATGTTTAAAAATGCATAAATACTGAGAAAGAGGTCTTAAAAATGTAAAATTTTAGAAATTGTGAACATGATCATGCTGATAACATCATAGATTTTTTTTAATTTTTTTTCAGTCTTCAGAAGTTTAAAGAAATTTTCTAGGGATATTTTGGAGTTTATAAGAACTTTTAGACCTAATAAGTAAATTTATATATCTTATGAGGATTAAGGAAATTTTGTTAATTGCACCTAGCTTGGAGAACATCTAATAGGGGCGAAAATTTTAAATTTTTGTGAGAAAACCCAACCCATGCCTTAGAGGTCAATCAAATTAAAGGGAGAATACTTGTAGCCATTCTACATGGTGCAATTGTCCTATGAGGAGCTCTCACCTCATTGATGGCCCTGTTTCATCCAATCAAATGAGGTCTCCTCGAAAGTAAGACTAGACCATCGATGAGGTGGCAACTCCTCCTAGGATGGTCACACCACGTAGGATGGTACAATCGTCCTACTTAAGTATTTCTTTATTAGAGGGGATAGGAAATTGTGGTAGAGGCGTAAATGCCAGATTTGTTATATCTCGGCCGATCGTAGAACATAATCTAGGTATGTTTTCCCAAAAGAAATTCATGTGCATCATCACATGGCTATGGTAGAAGACACCCGACAGTGGCGCCATACCCATGTTGCCATCCATCCCATTCATGCGCTCATCGCCCATTCCGCTTATGTGGTCACCATCGTTCATCTCAACGGTGAGATGGTTAGGGAGAGGAAGGAGAGGGTAGGATTTAGGTTTGGGATTCGTGTGGTCCAGTGGGAGAGATGAGGCCTTGTTGTGAGAGTCATAGATTATGTTTCGTGTGTGGGGTACACGTAAGTTTTTAAAGGAAAATCTATGTTCCTGATTATTGAAATGTGAAGATAAAAAGTAAATGTGGATATTAAGATCCGGACTAAAAATCCAGAAAAATTCTTTTTCAAAAAAATTGGGTGTCGATTGAACTCGAACCCATTTTCAAGTAAGGTAATTATATTTATACTACAATTTTGTTAATTGCCTCACATTTTAATTATAATTAATATTTTCAATATTTGCTCGTTTATGTCTTTAAATTTTTTCGTTGCATGTTTCTTCTCCTAGTGGCCGATTGGAATGAATAATGTTATTTGCAGTCGCTCACTGTGACAGTCGCCCTACACGATATATACATGTCAGGTGGTTATTTGATGCATTAATAAATAAATAAAACTATCACATTAATACATCAAATAATCACCTGCCATGTGTATGCCACGTAGGACGACTACCGCAGTGAGCAACTGCAAATATCATTACTCGATTGGAATGGGGTAGTGGACCCCACTAGACTTTGGGCAATTCTTTTAATTAATAAAATCATTGTTTCATAAATTACATTTTAAACAAGGATAAAGCTACTTTGCTAGGAAGATTTGATAGAAAATTTGACATATATGCATGTAACGGTAGATGATTGAATTAAAAAGTTGACTATGTTTTAAACTGTTTAATTATAGATTATCACGTGATATTATGTCAAATTTTATATCAACCATTATCAATTATTGCTTAACAGCCTAAATTAATTCACCTAGCTAAGTATTATCTAGATAAGTTTTAAGCAATAGTGCTAATGGCACTTAGTGATGAACTAAAAACTTATAATATTGATATGCGCTCTAGGAAAGCATTAGGAGAACTGCAGGGTCTTAATGCTTTACCACAAATTGGTTGTAATGAAAAAGCATAAACGTGCCCATTATGTTGCAAGCCTGTGACTTTTGCATTAATTCTTCTAGTTTCAACTACAGGTAATTGGCGCAAAACGTCTCTATCTTTCAACGTGTGCAAAACGTTCCTACCTTTCATTTTTTGGCATTTTTGCCTCTATTTTCACATTTCTTTGCGCTGGACGTCCTTTTCACTGTTTTTTGACGATTTTACCCTCCATTCAAATCAAACAAAAAGAAAAGAAAGAAAAAAAAACAAATAACTAATTACAATCACAGTCCCAAATTTTCAAAAAACTACAAATCGGTTACAAATATAGGAGGGAAGCCCCATCCAGTTTTTCGTCAATCAAAGGTGATGTTTGGAAAATTGGATCAATTGGTGCTATAATTTCCAGAATTGATTGTGCATCCACTGTTTTTTATGCTTGAATTGCAATATCCCTGGACGAATTGATGGAGTTAGGCATTGCACCCCCGTCAATTGATTGAGCCGTGTTTTTGTATACGATTGAAACAGGCCTTCGAGCTTGGATGATGAATTGGATGAATTGACGGTATAACCATCGACGTTTAGCACTGAGTAATCATTTCCCCAAGTTGATTCGAAGGTTGAAGCAGTTTCAAAGCCTCAATTGAAGGGAAATCTAAACTCGCTTGCGTATGAACTATACCAGAGTGGATCGCAAGATTTGTATCAAATTGTGAAAGACCCATAGGTGGAATAGCTTCGCCATCAGGATGGGGTGGTCCGGTATCAAGATATCGACCACCGTCGTCGGAAATAGCTTCTGAAGTCTGCATGTCGACTGCGCGCAAAAAATAGTGGCTGCAATTATTGATTGGGTAGTTCAATAGGTGTTTGGTGACCATGGCTAGGTGCGCCATGATGAGGGGAGTCTACTAGTATGATGGGATTGGGCTGGGAGTCGCCGAAGATGGAGTTGCCGGCAGTTTTGCGTGACGCGAATGGCTGGTTTTGGAACGAAATTTCGGTCAAATCCGATAGATGTAGGGACGATTCTAGGATGGGCTGTATAGAGGGCAACGGGGGATTCAAGGTGGTGTATTGGTCCGGTGATTTTGGTGGCCGGAAGGTGTCGGAATGGGGCTTCATATTTGGCCTCCTATATTTGTGAATGACTTGTAGTTTTTTAAAATTTTGGGATTGTGGTTGCAATTCGTATTTATTTTTTCTTTCTTTTCTTTTTGTTTGATTTGAATGAAAGGCAAAATTGTCAAAAAACACTGAAAAGGACGTTCAGCGCAAAGAAATGTGAAAATAGGGGCAAAAATGTCAAAAAATAAAAGGTGGGGACGTTTTGCACAATAACCTTGAAAAGTAGGGACGTTTTGCGCCAATTACCCTTTCAACTATTAGGGTTGACAACGGTTTGATTTGGTTCGACCAAAACCATCACCAAACCACTAAATATTTTTGTCATACCATAACCACGTAAGTTAAGTTGGTTCGGTTCGTCGCAGTTCGTATCTTGGTTTGGACGGTTAATAACCACAAAAATAAATTATTTTTTATAAGTCTAGTCGTCAAGCTGAAAAAAAAAAAATTATGGAAAAGAAAAGTCAATGAAAACAAAAACACAATACTAAGCCAATTTAGCAAACGATCTCCAAAATGAAAATGTAAATAATATCTCAATTTCCAAATGCAAAATTCGAATTTAACAAACAATTTCCATAAATGTTTAATATTTGTGTAGTAAGGTTTAGGACTACTGAGTTAGTTTAGTTGGACTTATCGAATCGATAATGAGCCAAAATTTTGGGCTGAACAAAATCATAGAAAAAATAATGAAAAGTCCAATTGTCCAATTAATTTTTTTAATAGGTAATTGATTCCGAGCGGGACATTAAAATCAAATATTATATCCACCCCATTGTGCCATCGATTCGATTTTTTTCTCCCTATTCGATTTGGTCAACCACGATTTTCGATTTTGACAGTTCGAACTGCCATTCCTAATAACTACTAGAGTAGAAAGAGTATTTTCTACAATGATCAAAAGAATAGACTACACAATCAAATTGAAAATCGATAGACGAATGATAGCTTTGTTGTCGATATTTATAGGATGTTTGACACCTCTTTTTATGGAAAAATGAATTTTAAAATAGTAGACTAATTGTGTGGATGAAAAATAATGAAAAATTATTGATTTACGTATAATATTATTTAAATGAAGAATATGTGGTTAAAATTAAAAGAATGCATTTTGATAAAAATGAGAATCAAACGAACTTTCTAAAAAGAAGTATGTGACATCCAAACTTGATAGATTGAAAATTAATATAAAATTATTCAACCTTACTATCATACATCGGGAAGAGAGTATAAAGAAGAAACTAAAGTCAAATAATGTCATTATATGGGGTTTTCGAAGTATGAAATCGAACAATCATAAAATTTTCTAATATTTTTAATTATTATTATTATTGTTTATTATTTATTTAATTTTTTTTTTGTTTCGAAATTTTTTCTCTAGTTGATTTGTGCAACTGGAATTAGTTCCTGACTCAGCCACCTGCCTCAACCTTTTATTAATAAAGTGAAAAAACGACCAAAGATTGGAAACTAAAACTTTAATTAAAATATGGTAT